TGGGGTGTTAAAGTCCACTACTATGAATGTGTTACTGTTGATTTCGCCTTATGTGGCTGTTAGTATTTGCCTTATGTATTGAGGTGCTCCTTTGTTGGGTGCATAAATATTTACAATTGTTATATCTTCTTCTTAGATTGATCCCTTGATCATTATGTAGTGTCCTTCTTTGTCTCTTGTAATAGTCTTTATTTTAAAGTCTATTTTGTCTGATATGAGAATTGCTACTCCAGCTTTCTTTTGGTTTTCATTTGCATGGAATATCTTTTTCCATCCCCTTACTTCCAGTCTGTATGTGTCTCTAGGTCTGAAGTGGGTCACTTGTAGACAGCATATATATGGGTCTTGTTTTTGTATCCATTCAGCTAATCTGTGTCTTCTGGTGGGAGCATTTAATCCATTTACATTTAAGGTAATTATCAATATGTATGTTCCTATTCCCATTTTCTTAATTGTTTTGGGTTTGTTATTGTAGGTCTTTTCCTTCTCTTATGTTTCTTGCCTAGAGAAGTTCCTTTAGCATTTGTTGTAAAGCTGGTTTGGTGATGCTGAACTCTCTCAGCTTTTGCTTGTCTGTAAAGGTTTTAATTTCTCCATCAAATCTGAATGAGATCCTTGCTGGGCAGAGTAATCTTGGTTGCACGTTTTTCTCCTTCATCACTTTAAATATGTCCTGCCAGTCCCTTGTGGCTTGCAGAGTTTCTGCTGAAAGATCAGCTGTTAACCTTATGGGGATTCCCTTGTGTATTATTTGTTGTTTTTCCCTTGCTGCTTTTAATATGTTTTTTTTTGTATTTAATTTTTGATAGTTTGATTAATATGTGTCTTGGCGTATTTCTCCTTGGATTTATTCTGTATGGGACTCTCTGTGCTTCCTGGACTTGATTAACTATTTCCTTTCCCATATTAGGGAAGTTTTCAACTATAATCTCTTCAAATATTTTCTCAGTCCCTTTCTTTTTCTCTTCTTTCGGAACCCCTATAATTTGAATGTTGGTGTGTTTAATGTTGTCCCAGAGGTCTCTGAGACTCTTCTCAGTTCTTTTCATTCTTTTCTCTTTATTCTGCTCTGAAGTAATTATTTCCACTTTTTTATCTTCCAGGTCACTTATCCGTTCTTCTGCCTCAGTTATTCTGCTATTGATCCCATCTAGAGTATTTTTAATTTCATTTATTGTGTTGTTCATTTTTGTTTGTTTCATCTTTACTTCTAGGTCCTTGTTAAATATTTCTTGCATTTTGTCCATTCTATTTCCAAGATTTTGGATCATCTTTACTATCATTATTCTGAATTCTTTTTCAGTAGACTGCCTATTTCCTCTTCATTTGTTAGGTTTGGTGGGTTTTTATCTTGCTCCTTCATCTGCTGTGTGTTTTTCTGTCTTCTCATTTTGCTTATCTTACTGTGTTTGGGGTCTCCTCTTTGCAGGCTGCAGGTTCGTAGTTCCCGCTGTTCTTGGTGTCTGTCCCCAATGGCTAAGGTTGTTTCAGGGGGTTGTGCAGGTTTCCTGGTGGAGGGGACTAGTGCCTGTGTTCTGGTGGATGAGGCTGGATCTTGTCTTTCTGGTGGGCAGGTCCACGTCTGGTGGTGTGTTTTGGGGTGTCTGTGGACTTATTATGATTTTAGGCAGCCTCTCTGCTAATGGGTGGGGTTGTGTTCCTGTCTTGCTCGTTGTTTGGCATAGGGTGTCCAGCACTGTAGCTTGCTGGTCGTTGCGTGAAGCTGGGTGTTGGTGTTGAGATGGAGATCTCTGGGAGATTTTCGCCATTTGATATTATGTGGAGCTGGGAGGTCTCTTGTGGACCAGTGTCGTGAAGTTGGCTCTCCCACCTCAGAGGTGCAGCACTGACTCCTGGCTGCAGCACCAAGAACCTTTCATCCACGTGGCTCAGAATAAAAGGGAGAAAAAGTAGAAAGAATTAGTAGAAAGAAACAACGAAAGAAGAAAAGAAAGAAAGGAGGGAGGGAGGAAAGAAGGAAGGAAGGAGGGAAGGAAGGAAAAAAAGAAAGACAAGATAAAGTAAAATTAAAAAAAGTAAGATATAATATAATAAAGTTATTAAAATAAAAAATAATTATTAAGAAAAAAATTTTTTAAAAAATGGACGGATAGAACCCTAGGACAAATGGTGGAAGCAAAGCTATACAGACAAAATCTCACACAGAAGCATACACATACACACTCACAAAAAGAGGAAAAGGGGAAAAAATCATAAATCTTGCTCACAAAGTGCACCTCATCAATTTGGGATGATTCGTGGTCTATTCATGTATTCCACAGATGCAGGGTGCATCAAGTTGATTGTGGAGCTGTAATCTGCTGCTTCTGAGGCTGCTGGGAGAGATTTCCCTTTCTCTTCTTTGTTCTCACAGCCCCCAGGGGCTCAGCTTTGGATTTGGCCCCGCCTCTGCGTGTTGCTCGCCTGAGCGCGCTTGTTCTTCGCTCAGACAGGACGGGGTTAAAGGAGCAGCTGCTTCGGAGGCTCTGGCGCACTCAGGCCGGGGGGGCGGGAGGGGCACGGAGTGCGGGGCGGGCCTGTGGCGGCAGAGGCCGGCGTGACGTTGCAGCAGCCTGAGGCGCGCTGTGCGTTCTCCCAGGGAAGTTGTCCCTGGATCCCGGGACCCTGGCAGTGGTGAGCTGCACAGCCTCCCAGGAAGGGGGTTGTGGATAGTGACCTGTGCTCGCACACAGGCTTCTTGGTGGCGGCAGCAGCAGCCTTAGCGTCTCATGCCTGTCTCTGGGGTCCGCGCTTTTAGCCGCGACTCGCGCCCGTCTCTGGAGCTCCTTTAAGCAGCGCTCTTTATCCCCTCTCCTCGCGCACCAGGAAACAAAGAGGGAAGAAAAAGTCTCTTGCCTCTTCTGCAGCTCCAGACGTTTTCCCGGATTCCCTCCTGGCTAGCCGCGGTGCACTAACCCCCTGCAGGCTGTATTCCCGCCGCCAACCCTAGTCCTCTCCCTGGGATCCGACCTCCGAAGCCCGAGTCTCAGCTCCCAGCCCCGCCCGCTCCGGCGGGTGAGCGACAAGCCTCTCGGGCTGGTGAGTGCCGGTCGGCACCGATCCTCTGTGCGGGAATCTCTCCGCTCTGCCCTCCGCACCCCTGTTGCTGCACTGTCCTCCGCGGCCCCGAAGCTGCCCGCTCCGCCTCCCGCAATCTCTGCCCGCGAAGCTATTCCTGTTTTTAATGAAGTGGAGACTTCTAAGGTTTCTTTTGGTCTAAATCAATTACATCACTTAAGGTGCAATCAGAGAACAGAAACCATGCTGGGTATTTCAAGAAAGGGAATTTAATAGAGAATTGGTTACACAGGTGTTAAGTGAAAGAACAGAAACGAACCCTTTGTTGTTGTTGTTTTTTAACCCAGAGGTAACTTAAGGAAGCAGATACTAGAGAACAGAAGCAAAGTATTGGGACTACCAGATCCTAGAAATTCAGAGGAATCCCCTGAAGATTGTGTGCTCAGGTCTTTAAGAAAGGAATCCCAGCTGGTTCCTACTGGGACCTTCGAGGGGCATCATGAGGCTGGCTCTGGGAGTGCTAAAAGAACTAGAAACAAGTGAATTACCTCTGCTGGGATGAACTGCTGTCACCTGGGTGAATTGCTACTGCTAGGGCAATGTTAATAGAAAAACAAGAAAAAGAACAAAGTTTTCTTCTCTTCCTGCATTCCAACTTGCCTCTATTATCTCCCATTGGCAGAACCTAAGAGGAAACCAGGTAGCAAAGTTATCTGGAAAATGTCGATTACATTTTCCTAGTTACAACTTTAGAAGAATGGATTTGAATCCAAGAGACAGCATAGGTAAATAAATAGCCCATCAGTGGTGTCCATAGTGGCTTTATACACCCAAGGGAACAGAGGGAAGAAAAAGTCTCTTGCCTCTTCTGCAGCTCCAGACGTTTTCCCGGATTCCCTCCTGGCTAGCCGCGGTGCACTAACCCCCTGCAGGCTGTATTCCCGCCGCCAACCCTAGTCCTCTCCCTGGGATCCGACCACCGAAGCCCGAGCCTCAGCTCCCAGCCCCGCCCGCCCCGGCGGGTGAGCAGACAAGCCTCTCGGGCTGGTGAGCGCCGGTCGGCGCCGATCCTCTGTGCGGGAATCTCTCCGCTTTGCCCTCCGCACCCCTGTGGCTGCGCTCTCCTCCGCGGCTCCGAAGCTTTCCCCGTCCGCCACCCGCAGTCTCCGCCCGCGAAGGGCCTTCCTAGTGTGTGGAAACCTTTCCTCCTTCACAGCTCCCTCCCACTGGTGCAGGTCCAGTCCCTATCCTTTCGTCTCTGTTTTTTCTTTTTTCTTTTGCCCTACCCAGGTACGTGGGGAGTTTCTTGCCTTTTGGGAGGTCTGAGGTCTTCTGCCAGAGTTCAGTAGGTGTTCTGTAGGAGCTGTTCCTCGTGTAGATGTATTTCTAGTGTATCTGTGGGGAGGAAGGTGGTCTCTGCGTCTTACTCTTCTGCCATCTTCCCCTCGTCTCTCTAATGCTTTCTTTTATCTGGCAAAGATAACCTAGTTTCCTGTCTTGCCTTGATTATCTCCACTCATAAAACTAAAACAGTGCTCTGTTCCAGTAACTGAATTGGCTTAAGTGGCTAATATTTTAGTTTTCTTATGTTAAATTAATAAATTGTACTTAAATTACAGGCAATTTAAAATTATTGTTTGTAGTGAGGGGAATAAATATATTGAATTTTCATGGCATGGTAAAAGAATAATATGGACACATAAATGGAATTAACTGTATCTGGTGTCAGTATTAATATTATTTCTAATCTTGATTCCAATTATTTGTAAATAAAGACTGTATAACTTTGAAATTAAATTGAAGAATCTAATAGATTATAATATTTGTGTATGGTTTATAATGATTTTGTATAATGTGTATATATAGTTTTAGTGTTAAAGGGATTATCACTTGGAATAAACAAGCATTGTTTTTTGTACCCAGAGTATTTTCAACATATTTGTTTATCTAATATATTATAACTGAAGACCTGCTTTTTATAGGACATTAACAAGTGCTGGTAAAGACCTGCATGATAATTTTCTGAAGGCTCTGGCAGTGAGAGAAGAACACAATCGCAGTGGAACAGTAAGCGTGAGTACATTTCATTCAAAGGCTAAAAATGTATACCTTAAAGGCACAGTTAATATATAATATATAGCTAGTTAATGATATAACTTTTACTACTGTCTCTGAAAGGTAATTCATGAGGGATGCAATATAGCATAAGGTATGCAATATAGCATAAGGTAATTCATGTGGGATGCAATATAGCTCTTTATTATTTATGTATTATAAGAATATATGTAGAAAAAAATTTATTCCAATTTACATCTGTAGAAGTAGCCAAATGGTGAAAAATATTAGTAATATTCTATGTATCTGTTGTGGGGAAAATGTCTGTATTTGGCAGACTGGTTGTCATCTCCAACTCTGTGCTACTCCTGTGTTGAAACTTCATGCTTCTTTTCAACCCAAGCTCCTACTACACTTCTCCAAATCATGTCATTCACTCATCCCCAAGGTTTTCCCCCACCTACCTGATTCGCGCTACCCCTATAGTCGTCCTATCGTCCTATCTGAGGAGGTGTGATAGAAACCACATAATGGAGAGATATGATTTTGAATCATACAAGGAGAGCATGCTCTTGCTTTATTAAAATATGTGCTAGATCAAATATTTAAAATTGCTAATATTATTTGGAATAGTTGCTTTCATGCTTTGCTAATATAATATTGGTGATAACAGTCTGCTCTAAGTCTCAAAATGTTCCAAGTTAAGGATAAAAATAGGCAAATATTCATGCTGAAACTGTAATAGTGAATTACAGAAAAATAATCAGAAGTAGTACAATGAAAAATTTAGAGCAACAGAAAAATATGTTGTAAGGATGTCTGTTTTTACCAAAGTTTTCTCAATAAAAATGTTGGCATTTTTCTCACTATCATGTCCCTTGAAAATTTCACATGCAGATAAAATCCTCAGTGTTCTTCAGAAAGAAAAAAAATCATGCCTTTGTTAGAGAATTGTATAGAATGATCCTGGACTTGAAAGCAGGGAAAGTTTCTCGGTGGAAGTGTGCTGAGTGAGGTTGGAAATATAGGTGGGGACTAGACTTAGTCAATCACAACAGAAAAGTTTGGAATTTATCTGATCATTAATAGAAGGAGCAGCTAGAAAGGTAGGAAGAAAGGCAGAAAAATGTGGTGACATAGGAATCCATGGTAAGGACTTTCAAGAAGGAACAAACGATCATCAGTGATCAAGCAGGATAAGAACTGAAAAAGGATCTGTTATATTTGGGAACATGCACGTTTAAAAGAAAAGAAAATTTGACAAGAACAAATTCCATTCATAGGAAGGATAGAAATAAGGTTTCTTAGGGTTGAAAAAAAAATGGCCCATGGTTAAAAAGTAGCATCAACAAACACAAACAGCTTTAGAGACGCTAGGCCCATGTTTTTTTTACTGCAATGGTGTACTTCCTCTCAAAAATATCTTTTTAACCTTTCTATCCTATTGGTATTTCCTTTAACAATGAATGATGGCACCATCCACTCATTTACCCAGATCGGAAGTATGTCAGTTATAATAAACTTTCTTTTTTTTAAAGTCTTTATTGAATTTGTCACAATATTGCTTCTGTTTTTTTATGTTTTGGTTTTTTGGCCACAAGGCACGTGGGATCTAGCTCCCTGACCAGGGATCGAACCTGCACCCCCTGCATTGGAGGTGAAGTCTTAACCACTGGTCTGCCGGGGAAGTCCCATAATAAACTCTTTATTCTCTTTCACCCATGTTGAATGAGCCACTAAGTTCTTCTAAATGTGTCAAATCGCTTCACTTTTCACCATCTCAAATACCATTTATCTAGATTCAAACACCCATCATATCTTAAATATATTACTCTAACAGACTCCTAAATGATACACCTGTGTATTTTCTTGGCTAACTCCCATCCATTTTCCAGTCACTCAACATATATTTCTTGTGTACCTGCTCAAGCCTGGAATTGTTTTAGTCACTGGGACACTGGGGCACTGCAGAATCTATGACCTTAAAGTGTTTATATTTTAGAGAGGGAGATAAAAAATTAGTAAACAAAATAAAAATGGAACAATTAATTTCAGCTCTGGATAGGTGCTATGAAGAACATAGAATTAGAATATGGAATATAGAGAGATTGAATAGACAGTGGTCGGTTGCTTTATCTACTGTATACAGGAAAAATTACTTTAAGGAGGTGACATCTGTTGAGACTTGAATGAAATGAGGAAGAAAGCCATGGAATTTGAAGGGTGAGATACCCCAAAGAGATAAATATTTGAGAGGGAGAGATACCCCAAGAAGAAGGAACATGTATTAAAATCTCCTGTGATAACAGCAATCATGGCATATTCAAGAGATGGTAAGAAGACCAGAATGGCTGGAAGGCAGCTATCGAAGGGAATTAGAAAATCAGATGAGACCAGAGAGGAGGTCAGCAGCCGGATCATGTAGGTTTTAAGGAATTTTGATTTTATTCTTTTTTAATTTTTATATTTATTCTTTTATTATTGTGATAGAAAGTTGATGCACACATGATCTTTAGCAGAGAAGTGACCCGATCTGGTTTACACTTTAGAAAGATTGATCTCATTGTTGCTGTGTTGGGTAGAAGAATGTGGTGAAGAAGTGTAGAGCCAGAAGTAAGGAGATAAGTTAGGGAGCTCTTGTAATCAACTAGCAAGAGACGAAACTCTCAAAACGTCATGATTGTAGTTGAGATGGAGGGAAGTTACTGAATTGTGTCTATGTTTTGGAGGCAAAGCAGACAGGACTCACTGATGGATTGGGTGTGGAATATTAAAGAGGAAATTAGGATGACGTCTAGGTTTTTAGTTTGAACAGGTGGGGATGATGGTGGCACTTACTGTGACAGGGAAACTTATTTCAGGAATCAATAATGAAATAGCTCTCTTTGGGCTATATTAATTTTGTGATGCCTATTAAATATCCAAGTGGAGAAGTTGATTGGTTACCTAGATATATTGGTTTGGAACTTGGGAGAAGTTTTGGCTAGGATATAAATCTGAAACATATCAACATCTAAATGGTATGTAAAGTCATGGGCTTGCAAAAGTTTACCAGGCAGAGAGTGCAGATAGAAAGAGTGAGGTTCTATGACAGATTTTTAGGACACTCCAACATTTAGAGATCTGAAATGTGTGAAAGAACTAGCTAAGGAACCTGAGAAGTAACAGGTAGGAGAAAAATCAGGTGAGAGCCATGCTATAGACATGGGAAAAGAAAAAATTTCAAAGGCAGGAGTGCTCACCATGTCAAATGCTGCTGAGAGGTTAAATAAGATGATCTATTAGTTTCTCATGGCTGCCATAACAAGTTATCACAAACTGAGTGGCTTGAAACAACAGAAATTTGTTCTCTCACAGTTCTTCTGGAGGCCAGAAGTCTGAAGTCAAGGTGTCAGCAGAACCTTTCTGAAGCGTCTAGGGGAGACTCTATTCCATGCCTTTCCCTTAGCTTCTGGTGTGTCTGAGAGTCATTGGTGTTCTTTGGTTTGTAGAGACATCACTTTAACCTCTGCCTCCATCATCACATGGCATTCTCCTTATGTATCTGTATCTCTGTCTTCTTTCCTTATAAAGGCACCAGTCATTGGATTAGCACCCCCTCCCCTGGTTGAATACGACTTAATATTAATTCCATTACACCTACAAAGAGCCTATTTCCAAATAAGGTTATTTTCACAGGTACCAAGTGTTAAGATCTCAACATATATTTTGGAGCAGAGGGGACATACAAATGATGAAAAGTTTGCTATTGTTTTTGGCTAGGTAAGTATCATTGAGTATGTTGATGAGGGTTGTTTCAGTGGAGGGCTGTGGTTAAATGTCTCGTTAGAGTATGTATAGAAAAGAAGAAAGTGTGTAAGTGAAGATAAGGAGGTCAACTGTTTTTGAGGATTTTTGTAGTGAAGTCTAATATAGACCTTGAATGACAGCTGGTACAGGCCTGGGGGTCTAGGAATTTTGTTTTAAGATGGTTAATATTAACCAAGTTTATGTTAACGGGAATGACCCAGTAGAGAGCAGGAGGGAAGAAAGAGTATATAGGCACATCTGCCAAATAGGTTGGTGGATTTAGATTTGGGAAGATGAGATAGCTCCGCTGTGAGTTTATCTATTTTTTTCCTACGTTGCTGCTCCAAATGACCTTTAATTACATTGTTATGGTTTCCTTTCTTTCCCCTTAGAAAATATCATAAATTTAACTTTTTTTGAGTCATTTAATGTTGGGTAGGTTGTCATTGATTTGGAAACAAGCGTCTTTTTTATTTTTTTTATTTTTATTTTTTATTATTATTATTTTTAATTAATTTATTTATTTTTGGCTGCGTTGGGTCTTTGTTGCTGTGCACGGGCTTTCTCTAGTTGCAGCGAGCTGGGGCCACTGTTGGTTGCGGTGTGCGGGCCTCTCATTGCGGTGGCCTCTCTTGTTGCGGAGCACAGGCTCCAGGCGCACGGGCTTCAGTAGTTGTGCCTCGTGGGCTCTAGAGCGCAGGCTCAGTAGTCGTGGTGCACGGGCTTAGTTGCTCCACGGGATGTGGGATCTTCCCGGACCAGGGCTCGAACCCGTCCCCTGCATTGGCAGGCGGACTCCCAACCACTGCGCCACCAGGGAAGTCCCAAGCGTCTTTTTTAGATTCATAGCTTGCTTGCTGACTTTGTAAATAACATAGGGTCATTTATTTGGGCCTTTGAATTTGTGATACTATTATAATCAGCAGACTACATATCATTGTATCAAGGGTGGCATTTAAGGCTTAATTTTGTATGTCCTAGTCTTGCCTTAATGAAGACTCCAAATAGTTTTAGAGCAAACAATTTACAACAGAATACAGCATATTTTAGAAAGATCTAATTATTAGGATCATGGGCTTACTTTAAAAGCCATTTACTAACTCGATATGCTTTTTAAAAAGTAGTCCTATAAAATATACAATATTCATGAGATTTGAATCTATATTAATTTACTGTCAGCAGAAATTACATGTGAATTTTATGAGGTCTGAACTCTCTGAGGG